GGGGGTCACTGCAGCCCCCAGGCTGCCCTCAGAGCACAGGGGGGTCACTGCAGCCCCCAGCCCACCCTCAGAGCACCAGGGGCTCTCAGCACCTGCCTGTGCCTGCGCTCACCTTCACAGAGTGGTTGTGGAAGTCGGTCACCACAATCTCATTCTTGTTGTTGACAGCCACAAAATGGGGTCCTGAGGAGACAAAGGGGCTCAGCCCGAGAGGGGCACAGGGAATCATCCCCAGGACTGGGGGACTCAGCCCTGGGGGGAATGGTGGGGTTCAGCCCTGGCCCCATGGCAGGACCAGGATGGACCCAGAGCCCTGAGGCATGGACAGAGCCCAGAACTCAGAGCCCCCAGGATGGAGCCACTGCCAGAACCTGAGGCCAGGGCCCTGGCCCAGAATTGAACCCAGAACCCAGACCCACGATCTGTATCCAGAACCAAACCCAGTGCCCCGGTCTAGGACACACAGCTCAGAACCCAGACCCAAACCCAGAACCTGGAACCTCATCCCAGCCTGGGAACCAGAACCAAACCCTGAACTCAGAGCCTGGGATCTCAGTCCTGAACCAGAACCCAGAGACAGAACCTAGAACTGGATCAGAGCCCTGAACATGGTGCTGGACCTAGAACCAGATCCTGGCTCCCTAGAACCAGATTCTGGCTTCCTGTCCAGCCCCAGAACTCAAACCAGAGCTCAGAACAAGTACTAAGCCCAGAACCTGAGCCCACAGCCCAGAGCTGGATCCGGAAAGCCAGCCTAGAACTGCAGCCTGGACCTGTGCCCCAGCCTCAGGCCGTTCTTGGGCTCCCAGTGCCACCAGCTGTCCCAGCAAGGCGGGGCACACACGGTGCTGCCCGCCCTGGGCTCCCAGCTGGGGGTGCCAGGGCAGGTACCTGCGAACTGGCGCTCGGCGGTGCCGCGGGAGCCGAACCGAGCCACCAGCTTGCCGTTGGGCTGGAAGATGAAGACGCAGCAAGCCTTGTTGTCCACCACGATGATGTGCCCGTTTTTGTCCACGGCGACGCCCTTGGGGCCCATCAGCCGCCCCGCGCCCAGCTTCGTCTGGGGGGGACAAGCAGTGAGGCTGGGACTGCCACGGACCCCCTGCCCACGGCTCCCCCCAGAGCCCTGCAGGCCTCACCTTGAACTTGCCCTCAGGTGAGAACACACTGACCCAGCGGTTGTCGTAGTCGGCCACGATGATGTCACCGTTGGTGTCCACTGAGACCCCCGTGGGGCGCTGGAGCTGCCCCGGGGAACGGCCCCGCACCCCGAAACGCAGCCGGAACTGCCCCTCGTTACTGAACACCTGCNGGGTCTATTCCAGTTAACCCAAGAGGCTCCCAGTTGCTCCCAGGTGAGCCCAGACCCCTTCTCAGTCCATCCCAATTGCTCTTGGTGTAAAACTCTTCCCAGTTCCTCCCAGTTGCCCCTAGGCCCCCATGGAGCATTCCCAGCTGACCAGAGACCCTCCCCTGTTGCTCCCAGTTGCCTGACCCCTCCCAGCTGACCGCAGCCCCTGCACAGACTCTGCCCCACTGACCCAAGATCCTCTCCAGCCGCTCTCACTCAAACCCAGCTGTGTCCTGGCTCCCTGCAGGTGCCCCTGGCACACAGGTGGGATGGGGAGGGGACAGGGCTGAGCGCCCTTGGGCTGCACTGGGGGATGTGTGCAGGTATGGGTGTGCAGGTACAGGTGTGTCTGTACAGGTACAGGTGTGCAGGTGCAGGCACAGGTGTCTGTGTGGGCACAGGTGTCTGTGCAGGTACAGGTGTGCAAGCACAGGTGTCTGTGCAGGCACAGCTGTCCATGTGTCTGTGCAGGCACAGGTGTCCATGTGTCCGTGCGGGCACAGGTGTCCATGCAGGCACAGGTGTCAGTGTGTCCCTACCAGCACAGCTGTCTGTGTGTCCATGTGGGCACAGATGTCCATGTGTCCATGCCAGCACAGCTGTCCGTGTGTCCATGCAGGCACAGGTGTCAGTGTGTCCGTGCAGGCACAGGTGTCCGGGTGTCCGTGCAGGCACAGGTGTCCGTGCCAGCACAGGTGTCAGTGCGTCCGTGCCAGCACAGATATCCATGTGTCTATGCCAGCACAGCTGTCCGTGTGTCTATGCCAGCACAGTTGTCCGTGTGTCCATGCAGGCACAGATGTCCATGTGTCCGTGCAGGCACAGATGTCCATGTGTCTATGCCAGCACAGCTGTCCGTGTGTCCATGCAGGCACAGGTGTCAGTGTGTCCCTGCCAGCACAGGTGTCAGTGTGTCCGTGCAGGCACAGGTGTCAGTGTGTCCCTGCCAGCACAGGTGTCCGTGTGTCCATGCAGGCACAGGTGTCCATGTGTCTATGCCAGCACAGGTGTCCGTGTGTCCGTGCAGGCACAGGTGTCAGTGTGTCCGTGCAGACACAGGTGTCCATGTGCCCATGCAGGCACAGGTGTCAGTGTGTCCCTGCCAGCACAGGTGTCCCTGCCAGCACAGGTGTGGTACCTGGATGCGGCTGTTGCCCCAGTCAGCCACGATGATGTTGCCGTTGCTGTCCACGGCCACCCCCGTGGGNGGGACAATCCCTGCCCTGGAGGACAATCCCTGCCCTGGGCTGTGCCCACACTGGGACTGGCACAGCCCCGGTGCCATCAGCCCCTTGCCCACTTGGGCACATCTGGGCTCACATCCAGCCCCTGTGCCCAGCACCCCCAGGGCCGTTTGCCGCCCCTCTGCCCAGCCTGGGGTGTCACAGGAGTTTTGGTGACCCCAGCAGAAGCCCCAGCACTTGCCCTTGTTGACCCCCACACTGCTGGCCTTGGCTCATTAGTCCAGCCTGGCCAGACCCCTCTGGGGTCCTTCCTGCCCTCGGCAGAGCCAGATCCCAACCAGCCGTGTGTGTCCCATGGGCTCACGGAGCACACACTCCAGGCTCCATCCAGGTCACTGACAGCTCTGGGACAGCCCTGGGGAACCCAGCACTGAGCCCTGGGGAACCCAGCACCGAGGCCTGGGGAGCCCAGCAGTGCCTGGCCCCAGGTGTGGCCCCATTCCCCCCCTCCCTGGGCCTGGCCCTCAGCCAGGCACTCCCAACAAGGAGCACCTGTCCCAGCCAGGCTGCAGGTGCTCCGTGGGATGCCAGGGAGATGGAGATGGTGCCAAGGGCTTTGCTGAGCTCCAGGCAGGCACACCCACACCTGTCCCACAGGTCACCCTGTCCCAGCAGGACCTGCCTTTCCCAGCCCCAGCTGGATCTGAGCTGCCCTGCCCATGCTGTGGGACCCACAGGTGATCTGTTCTGGGAGCTTCCCAGCATCAGGACCAGGGACAGGCATGGATTTCCCTGGATCCTCCCTCCAGCCCTGCCTGGGAACAGGGTCACGGACACCTCTGGGGCCTGGGACCCCCAGGGCTGGTGGGGGATGATGAGCAGTGTCTGGTGAGCTCTGCTGCCATCCAGGATCCCCCAGGGATGGCCAGAGCTGGTGAGGACCAGGCGGAGCAGCCCTGTGACCCCTCCACAGCCCCTGTGGTATCCCTGGGGGTCCACTGGCCCCAGGGACCTGCGGGGTCTGAGCGGCTCAGCAGGTCACTGACCACTTTCTCCTGGGTACACGGACCAGTATGGAGCAGCTCCTACTGCTAGCACAGACCAGTCTGACCCAGTACAGCCCAGTACGAGTACAGACCAGTCCAACCCAAAACCTGCTGCCAGCAGAGACCAGTCTGACCCTGTCCCCACTCCAGCCCAGTCCCCGCTCCGTGTGTCCCTGTCCCTGCAGATGGGTCAGTGCTGGCAGAACGCCCAGGCCGGGCACTGAGCCTGGTGCCACTGAGCTCCAGGCACGGCTCCTGTCCCTGCTGGCCAGTGCAGCTGGGGGGCCCGCAGGCCACGGGGGCTGCAGGGCAGGGTGTGTGAAGGACAGCCAGGCCTAGGGGCAGCACGGGCCGGGGTACTTCCAGAATACTTTATTTTGTACATACAGTTTTGTCAGCGTGCGGCGGCTGCTCCACAGCCCCTGGAGCCCCCCAGAGCTGTGGAGCAGCAGTGCAGTGGGGCAGCAGGCACACACAGTCACCCCACAGCTGGGGAGGGGAGCTGGGGGGCAG